GCTCAGATTTATAGGGGGCCTTGGTAGGCTGAATGTGGGCATGAAAATAGGTTGAAGAATAGAACTAATCATGGAAGAGGTGGCGAAATCTGATAAAGGAGGGAGAACCTGAGCCTCCCAAAAGTTACTAAAAGTTCACAATTAGCTGTCAGTGTCCCCATCAGGTGGTCCCCGCAGGCCTGCTGCTGTTTGCCTGCTTCCTTTGTGGCTGCCCCTCCTGTGTTGTCAGTTACTGTGTTTCCTGGGATGTCAGGAAGCTCTGTACTCGGGTCCCCACATGCCCCGAAGAAAACCACAGATCAGTAAGTCAACATGTAAAAAGGCAGAAAGCTTACAGATTCCAGTGAAAGAACCAGCCAGGACTAGTGAGATGGCTTCACTGGCAGGGCACTGGCAGAACAAACAATGACGACCTGAGTTCGATCCCCAGGACTCAAAGTCGAAGATGACAGCCTAATTCCAAAAGTTGTGCTCTGCCTGGCGGTGGTGGCGCATGCCTTTAATGCCAGCACTCGGGAGGCAGAGGCAGGTGGATCTCTGTGAGTTCGAGACCAGCCTGGTCTACAAGAGCTAGTTCCAGGACAGCCTCCAAAGTCACAGAGAAACCCTGTCTCAACCTGCCTGTCCCCCACCCCCCAAAAAAGTTGTGCTCTTGTATGCCTGTGCTCACATATACAAACCACACACACACACACACACACACACACACACATTTTTTCATGAATGATACACAGTATGTACTCTTCTAGACTCCTTTTAAAAAATCCAATTTTATGTCCTATAGTTCATTTCACTTATACCCAGAACTACTCATTTTTGTCAGAGAATGTAGACACTTCTTTTTCTTCCTTCCTTCCTTCCTTCCTTCCTTCCTTCCTTCCTTCCTCCTCCTCCTTCTTCTTCTCCTCCTTTTTTTTTTTTTTTTTTTTTTTTTTTTTGAGATAGGCTCCCCTGTAGCCTGGCTGGTTTCAAATTGCTATGACCCTAGCTTTGAACTCCTACTCCTTGGCCTCCACTTCCCAAGTGCTGGATTACAGATGAGTGGCACCCGACCACCTTGGGTAGAGGCTTTTTAGGTGTTTGCATATTCATGAACACTGAGGCTTCAGCCAACCTTTTACTGCTGCACACGGTGTTCCATAAACACATTGAGTGCCCTGTACCCTCGGGGGTGTGTCTGTAATGAGCACTGGGCCCAGGACTTGGCTGAATCATAGGCTCTGCACCTCTCTTGGACAGATACTGGCAAGTTGCCTCCCAAAGTGGCTGTACCAGTTCTCATTCCTGCCATCTGCACAGTGACGGCACTCAGTGTCCCACAATGTTCCAAGACTCTTTCTGGCAGCTTAATTGGAGGAAAATGCTGTCTTGTTTTGGTGCTCATTCTTAAGATGGGGAGGCTCTTTGTGGCTCCTTGGTTGTGACTAATGTCTTTCTGTCCTTGGTCACCTTGAGTATTCCGAGGTCCATTTCTGGGTCCTCCTCTACCAAAGTCCTGTCCTGATGCAGGGAGCAGGGCTTCCATCAGTCATGTGGATGCCTTCTGGTGCCTGCCATCTGCTCTGGGTCTGCGACAAGTCTTTCCTGGTCAATGGACTTTTCCTTTTTTCTCTTTTAGCAGCCACAAGAGGCTTCAACCCTGCCTGGTTGGTACATTCCCTACCTCTCTTTGTTAGGTGGTAGTGGGGACCTGGGTGGCTCCCAGACACCTACTTCAGCACTTGATACCCTTCTTAAGACTGTACCAACTTCCGGTTCAGATGGAAGGTCTCTTTTGTGCGTTCTGACTTTCTTATTGAGACAAAATAAGTATGAGTGTGTGTGTATGTAGTGTGTGGAATGTGTGTGATCTGTGTGTGTGTTCGTATGTATGGTGTGTGTATATGTGTGGGGTATATAGTGCATACATGTGTGTGTTTGTGTGTTTGTGTGTGTGTGTGTGTGTGTGTGTGTGTGTGGTATTGCGAGAGAGCCTAGAGCCTTATATGTGCTAGGCAAGTGGTCCAAGGATATAGCTTGGTAATGGAGAACTTACCTTATATGCTTTGGGCTCTGGGTTCAGTCTCAGAACATCATTCCTTTTTATGCATGAATTATATTCCATTGTGTGGATACTTAATTGTGTTTACCCATAATACTATCAAAGGCCTGGGCTATGGGCCAGTGATACAGTGCTTTCTTCATGTCCTGGTTTGTTTTCTGTTGCTGTGATAAACACTGACGAAAAGCAGCTTGGGGTAGGAAAGGGGAGCCAAGGGAGGAACTCCAGGCAGGAATGGAAGCAAAGACCTGGGACAATTTGCTTACTGGCTTGCTTCCCATGGCTAGTTCAAGTACCTTTCTCATACAGCCCAGGGCTGCCTGCCCAAGCATACTATCTTCTACAGTGGGCTGGGCCCTTCTACGTCAGTTAGCAGTTAAGAAAATGTCCCACAGACATGCCCACAGGCCAAACTGACAGAAGCAATTCTGTCAGTTGAGATTCCCTTTCCCATGGTTGTCTAGGTTTGTGTCAAGTTGACAAAAACTAACCATGATACCTAGTATACCCAAGGTCCCACGTTCAATCCCTGTACTGCCACACAAAGATGTTTGAAAAAGGAAACCATAATGCTATGAGCATTCATTCACGAACAAGTTTTTTTGTGAACTTGTTTTTAACTTTCTTGAGTCTATACCCACTAATGGAATTGCTGGCTCATAAGATGTGTGAGTCACTTTTTTCACTGCCAAGATCAAATACTTAACAAAAGCCACTTAAGGGAGGAAGGGCTTACAGTTTAGGAGGGTTCACTGATGGGGACAGAGACAGTGTCTACATGTGCTGTAGGAAGCAGAAGGCAGTGGATGCTGTGCCCTTTGGTTAAGTCCAGGACCCCAGCCCATGAGATGTTGGTACCCACACTTAGGGACGGGTCTCCCTATCTGTATTAATTACTTTTCTATTGCTGTGATAAAGCACCATGAAAGGCAACTTACAAACAGAAGGATTTATTGGGGGTTATGGGTCCAGAGGGTTTGGGTCCATAAGATAAGGGCAGAGACAATATGGCAGCAGGCAGCAAACAGGGCAGTCAGAGTGGAAGCTGAGACCCAAGGACTTACATCAGGAAATGGGGGTTACTGGGAATACCCTGTAGCTTTTAAACCTCAGAGCCTGCCCCCGAACCGTGACATACTTCCTTTAGCAAGGCCACACCTCTTAGCACTCCTGAAACAGCACCACCTACTGGAGACCAAGTATTCAAACACCTAAGCCTATGGGGGACATTCTCATTCAAACAAACCACCACACTACCTCAGTTAATCCAATTTAAAAACTCAGTAACATGCTCAGAGATTTTCCTCTTCAGGGAGTTCTAGTTTTTTTTTTTTTTTTTTAAGAGTTCTAGATCTTATCAAGTCAATATTGACCATTGCAAGTCCATCCCTTGAGACAAAATGACACCCAGACATATCACCTTTGTCCCCATAGCCACAAAACCATTTATGAGGTAAATTTCAATTTATCATTATAACTGTCTCCATAGTCCATAAGAATCCCAACACTTTTCAAAAGTCTAAAATCTCTGACTTGTGAGCTCCCATACAATAAAAAGTTACAAACTTCTGGCATTCATAGCACATAATGAATATTCCACTTCAAGAGGAGGAATGGGGAATAGCAAGAAATGATCAGACCAAAGCAAGATGGAAACTCTGCATGGCAGAATCTACTCCTGCATCTCTATACCTGGCATCAACGGCTCATGAGGCTCCAGATGGCTTGGGTAGCCTCCCCTACCTCCAGGGATGCTCGTAGCACTCATAGTCTCTTGATCCAGCCCCTCCTCAAGTCTGTGCAGCCTTCCTGATATGAACAAAGACATTCTAAAGAGACTAATACTTTGGCCCTCTCTTTGACTGTTGAACTATAAATAATGGCTCCCCAAGAAGTTGGAATTTCCTAGGAATTTTCTGCTTGAGAAGGAAGACTGAAGCCTAGTGTCAGCCAGAGCGGGAATATTTTTCTGGGAAAGAGATCTCACACAGTTCTGACAATTTGTCAGACTGCTTTGCAGGGGAGATAGAGATGATGATTTGTCAGTGATGGATGGGACATCTTGAGCAGGACCTTGCTTCTCTACTTAAGTCTGAACCTTACATCAGGGCCACAAAATAGATGTGGGTGTTCCCGGAACTCTTTGTTCTTATCCCTAATGTGGCCACACCGAATCAGTCTCCCTTTCTGTGTTTCGCTATCACCTGTCTCTGTCATTGGCGTATTGAGGATAGGTGGCCAAGTCTAGGTTATTAGGGCTGTCATGGCTCAGGCTCTGATTAGCCATAACCAGGAGAAAAGGCCAAACCAGTGGCATTAGCCACTTGACACCAGACGGAGAAGAAACACAATAGTCCTACACAGCTTCTGGAACCATCTTATTTCAGGGATTTTTCTCACCTTCCCACTTGATTTGCCATCAGTTTCTTACCTCTCTATTTGGTAAAGCAGAGAAACAGTGTTCCGATTGTCTTTTGGATGCCTGAGAAGGTTTGACCTTTGGTAAGCTTCTCCCCAGTAGGGTGTCTTCTTTGGGGTCCCCTTTGAGTTTTTTTTTTTTTTTCTCTGTACCATTTCAGCAACTGGTTTTTGGTGACTGGCTTTGTCTTTGGGAGTTCCGTATCACTGAGGATTTGCTGAGATATCTGGGCTACTATGCTCTGTGTATGACTGTCCTTGGTATTTTGGCAGCCCCCTTTGAGGGGTCCTCTTGAGATATTTGAGCACCTACCCACTTCTTGAGATGTGGATCATCTGGAGGCCAAGGAACGTGAACTTGGCTCTCTGAAGAGCCTCAATCATGTCCTTATTCTGCAGTCTGGTGCAGATGGACATGATGACCTGGCCAGTGTGAACCCTGGCCTCTGAGCCCTGGGGCTTCTCAAAGGCACCATGAACACTTGTCTGGAGCCTAGATTGGGGACAGCATTGAGATCAGAGACTTGAATAACAGCCAGAAAATTGTCTCCAAGGTCCCTTAGGGCAGCCCACATAGGTAACAGGCTGCACACCCTACCAAGGAGCACCTTTTGTAACCATTGGGCACCAGGCTCCCATGGGGAAAGTGTATACACGTGTTTCTATGTTTTACTAAGATAATTGCTTGTGCTTCCTGCTCTTTTTCTTTTTAAGACTTTGGCTACTTAGAAAATTAGGTCAACGTTTGTTTCTGTATTTGTGTGTTAAAGATTTTTTTAAATGGCTACTTTAGGACCGGGGAGATGGCTCAGTGTTAAGAACACTTCCTGTTCCTGCTCTCCATTTAACCTAAACCTCAAAAAAAAAAAATTAAAAACAAGGGTGGTGAGATTGCTCAGTAGGTAAAGGTGCTTGCTACCAAGTCTGACAATTTGAGATGGGTACTGGAGACCCACATGGTAGAAGGAGAAAACCAGCTCCTGCAAGATGACTTCTGGCCTCCAGATGCATTCTGCAGCACACACACTCGTGTGTGTGTGTTTGTGTGTGTGTGTGTGTGTGTGTGTGTGTGTGTGTTACAAATAAGCAAACGCAATGTAAAAAGAACTAAGCCTACATCTCAGGAATGCAAAGATGGACTCCAGCAGTCGCTGGACCTCTTTGATCTTTCAATGGTCACACTGAGTAAACTTGATTTTCTGCTTTTCAATACAACTTACAACTTACCTGTTTAATTGTCCTGCTGAGCAGGTGCCCAGGTTGAGCTCGGTAAGGTTTCCAGAGCTCAGGCTCTGACCCTCCAGACTCTGGTCACATCTCCGCTTTCATCAGCAGGTGTGTCATAGTGTTGGCATTACCAGCATCCTGGGGGCTCAACTGCAGTGCAGGCCTCACCCTCACAGTCTCACCTGATGGCTCTCAGAGCCTCCTAGTTGGGACTCTAACCCTGACACATGCTGCTTGTCCTCAGTGGCTCTCGGGAGCCTTGGTGCAAGCCTCTCCAATCCCTTCACTCTGGCAGGTTCCATGCCAAGCAGTCCCACTGCCAAGTTGTGCTGCTGCCAGCTCAAGGCGTAGCCTGGCCTCATTGGAGCACTGTGCCCACCAGCTTCTGTGTGTAAACCTGGGGAGACATTTCCCTGATGGGTCTTTTTGGGATGGGAAACCCCTTCAGCTGCATTCTGAGTTTAGGCTTTCACTACTCCAGTGAATTTTCACAGGGTGGAGCCTTCAATGCGTGGCACCTTTTCTACTGTGTTCCATAGTACTAGGGTTTCCCCTCTCCCTCCCCCCCACCTTTACTAGACAAGGGCAGTAAGCAGTAACCATGACACAATCTAAACGTTACCCCATTTTGACATTTCCTCTGTCAAACAGATTAGTCCATTACTTTGAATTCAGCCTTACTCATGTTCTCAAGTCGTGGGTAGATAGATTATAGCCAGATTCTTTGCCGAAATGCAATCTAAGTAGATTCCAGCCTCAGTTTCTGAAAAAGACCTTGCTCACCTCTGGAATCTCCGGGGTGGGTCCTCCATTGTCTGGATTTCTTTTGGCATTCTGGCCTCCTAAACTCCCACCAGAATGGCGCACTAAAGTCCATTTCCAGTAGTCTAGAGTTTTGCTAGTTTAAAGTGCAAAAGCTTCCATGTTCTTCTGGTGCACTGGCCCTCTCCTGCTGAGACAGGGCTTCTCTGTGTAGCCCTGGCTGTCCTGGAACTTGTTTTGTAGACAAGGCTGGCCTTGAACTCACAGGGATCCACCTGTCTGTGCTTTGTGAGTGCTGGGATTAAAGGTGTGTTCCACCATGCCATTTTTGTTTTGTTTTTTTCTCGGAGTGGTCCACTTCTTGATGCTAACTTTCTCATTGCTTTGATCAAACACTTTTCAAAATTAGCTTAAGAAAGGAACAGCTTATTTTGGCTCACTCAAGAGGGTACAGTCCATCATGGAGGAGAAGATGGGAGAGCTGAATGCTGTGGTTCCTTACTTCTTCTTCTTCTTTTTTTTTTTTTTTTTTTTTTTTTTTTTTTTTTTTTTTTTGCCTTTTTGTTCCAGTACCCGAGACCATGCCATGATGTCACCCACAGTTAGGATTGGTCTTCCTGCCCCAGGTACCCAGTCTGGAAACCCATTAAGGAGCATACTTAAAGGTTTGTTCACGGGCGATTTCACAGCCTGTCAAGTTGGTGTTATTGAATACCACACTACGTAACTATGTTTTCCACAGCAGCCAAGTTATTTTACACCTTCACTATCGGTACACAAGAGCTCCATTTTCTCTGTGTGTTTGCCAACTCGTTAATTTATGTCACTCAAGACTTATAGTGGGTGAGGCTGGGGAGATGCTTCCATGGTTGAAGCGCTCGCACGCCAGGGTGAGCATGAGAGTTCGGATCCCCAGCACCCATGTCAATGCCAGGTGTCATTCCAGCCTTAGAAGGTAGAAACGGAACCACAGAGCAAGCTGGCTAGCAGGACTAGCTATCTCGGTGAATTCTGGGTTTGAGTGAGACACCCTGACTACAGACAAGGTGGAAGAATCATTGAGTGTGATTATAGCCATTAACCTCAGGCTGCCACTCGCATGTGCGCCCGCATCCAGCAACACATGTGAGGCTCCACACAAGCAGACATTTACATACACATCACTCACATGCAAAAGGGGAAAAAGAAAAAAAAAACTATAGTTTTCCCAGTTAGCATATGTAGTATGTCAGTTTGGGTTTGATTTGCTTTTCTGGGAGACAAATGATGTGTATATTTCTAAGTACTTACTGGCTGTTTGCATATATTTCTGAAAAAAAGTTTCTTGAATATTTTTTTTTGATTTAAATTCGATTATTTGTCCTTTTATTACTGACAAGGAGTTTTTTTCCCCCCTTAATGCATTCTAGGTCCTAAAACCTTATTGGGTACTCAACTTAGAAGTATCTTCTTCTGGGACTGGAGAAACGGCTTAGCACAAACCTCAGTCCCTGGAGCCCATGTGAAGACGTCTGATTTCTGCGCACATCTGAAACCCCAGCACTCCCGTGCGTGAGACGGCAGGAGAGACAAGAATTGCCTGGATGCTCACAGCCAGCTGCCCGGAGCACACAGAGTAGCAGAAACAATGAGAGATCCGACTGTGCAAGGCAAAAAGAGAGAACTGACTCTCAAAAGTTGTTCTTTGGGGGCTGGAGGGAGGGACGACTCAGCAGTTAGTGTTTGCCACTCTTGCAGAGGGCCTTGGTTCAGTTCTCAGCAACCACAAGGGGTGGCTCACAACCACCTATGACTCCAATTCCAAGGAATCTGATGCCCTCTTCCGGTCTCTGCGGGGCATGCATGTGGGGCACATACAAACAAGTAGGCACACACTGATACACGCAAATAAAAGTAAAACTTAAAGCTAGGCTGGGCGGTGGTGGCGCACGCCTTTAGTCCCAGCACTCGGGAGGCAGAGGCAGGCGGATCTATGTGAGTTCGAGACCAGCCTGGTCTACAGAGCTAGTTCCAGGACAGCCTCCACAAAGCCACAGAGAAACCCTGTCTCCAAAAAACAAAACAAACAAACAAAAAACAAAACAACAACAACAAAAAACCTTAAAGCCTGGTGGGGGTGGCGCAAGCCTGTAATCCCAGTACTTGGGAGGCAGAGACAGGCAGATCTCTCTGATTTGGAGGCCAGCCTGGTCTACAGAGTGAGTTCCAGGACAGCCAGGGATACAGAGAAACCCTGCCTCAGAGGGGGAAAAAAATGCAAAAGTTGGGCTGGAGAGATGGCTCAGAGGTTGAGAGCACTGGCTGCTCTTCCAGAGTTGCTGAGTTCAATTCCCAGCAACTACATGGTGGCTCACAACAATCTGTAATGAGATCTGGTGCCTTCTTCTGGCCTGCAGGGATACGTGCAGGCAGAACACTGTGTACATAAGAAATAAATAAATCTTTTTTAAAAAATGCAAAAGTTGTTCTCCGACCTTCACATACATGTTGTGGTATTCACCCAACACCACCTTCCCTACACTAATAATAATAATAATAATAATAATAATAATAATAATAAAACATGAGGCTGGAGAGATGATTTAACAGTTAAGAGCACTGGCTGCTCTTCCAGAGGACCTGGGTTCAATTCCCAGCAACCACATGGCAGTTTACAACTGTCTGTAACTCCAGTTTCAGGGGATCCAATACCTTTACAAAGACACAGATGCAGGCAAAGCATGAATGCATGTTACATGAAAGCAAGCGAACTAATAATAATAATAATAGCAACAATACACCCCAAATTAGTATTTCCTACCACTCATTCTCTGTCCCTTTCCTGTCACGTGTTATCTATTTTTCCTTTTGTTGCTTAAGCTCTTGGTGATGCACTTAAGAAACTGTCACCCAACCCAATGCCACAGAGGTTGTCATCTGTCTCCTTCTAATGGTTTTTTAGTTCTAATTCTTGTATTTCACTCTTGGATCTATTTTGAGTTAACTTCCTTTTACTTAAATGCTAGGGATTGAACCTGTGGCTTCATACATGCTAGGCAAATGCTCTCCTTTTGTGACACCCTCAAGTGGGGTTTTTAAGAAGTTTTTAAAAATAGCATCTTAGGTAGAAGTCAACCTTCATTCCACTTCTGGCAGATACACAGTTGTCTCAGTGCCTCAAGTCAGAAAAAACTATCCTTTTCACCCAGAATAGTCTTGGTACCCTCACAGAAATCAGATGATATAGTTTGATCTCTGGACTCCCAGTTTTATTCCATTAGTCTACGTCCGTCTTTCTGTCAGTTCTACAGTTCTGGTTACCTTAGTTTCACAGTAAGTTTTGACATCATGAAGTAGAAACTGGGGTGGTAGTGCATGCCTATATAATCCCAGCAGTTAGGAGGCTGAGGCAGGAGGATTACTGTAAGCTAAAGTTCAGCCTGAGCTATAGCGAGATCTTTCACAAAAGAAAAAGAAGCTAGAAAGTATGAGTCATCTGCTTTTGTTCTTCTGTGAAATAACATTTTTTTTACGTTGTTTTGTTGATTCATTTGGGTGTGGGTTGAATGTCTCATGGCACATGTGTGGCCGTCAGAGGACAACTTGCAGAAACTGATGCTCTCTTTCCACTGTTGTGGGTCCCAGGGACCAAACTCAGGTTGTCAGCCTTGGGGACAAATGTTTTCATCTGCTGAGCCAGCTTTTTGGCCTCTCCAAAATATTTTTGGCTATTTTGTGCCTTTTGAATTGCCAGGTGAATTTAGCATTAGTTTCATTTCTGCAAAAAGAGGTGACTGGAATTTTCATGGGCATTGTCTTGGATACACAGGTGGAACTTGGTGGTATTACTATTGTAACACGATCAGGTCTTTCACTCCATGGACACCCGAATCTTCTGATTCCTTTAGTACTCACTAATGCCTTTAAATGTTTTATGACTTTCACTGTGTAAGTCTTACAGTTTACTTGCTTAGTTTCTTGGTAAGGTTTTAATCTTTCTAATGCTATCAAAACTAGAATTTGGAATTTTCTCTCTAGTTTTATTTTGGTTTGATTTTTGGAGATAGAGTTGCTCTGTGTAACAGAGCCCTGGCTGTCCTTTGTAGATCAGGCTGACCTTGAACTCACAGGGATCCTCCTTCCTCTGCCTCCTGGGTGCTAGGATTAAAGTCATGCACCATTGTGTCGGCTCCCTGGTTTTATTGCATTCATTCATTCATTCATTTATTCATTTTAAAGACAGTGTCTCATGTAGTCCAGGATGGCCTCAGATTGATTTTGTAGCTAAGAATGACCTTGAACACCTGATTCTCCCATCTTTATGTTCTATGCACTGACTATAAATCTGAGACTATATCCAGCTAATTTTGTTTTTGTTATCCTTTGCTTATGTTGTTTATTTATTTATTTAGCGAGGTTCTCCTGCAGTCTCAGTTAGCCCCAGTCTGACAGTATAGTGGAAGATAACCTTTAATTCCTTGCCTCTCCCTCCCAACTGACGAGATGACAGGTGAATGCCAGCATGGGGCCTGGCTGCATGCTGCCTTTGAAGAGGACAGATGTTGTCTCTGTAGCGCAGGATGACAGCGAGGGGTGTGGGTGTGTTGCCATGACAGCCTGTGTGCTGTTGCTGGGGTTTCGTTGTGTAGCTTATCTGAAGTCATAGATGGAGAGTTAGATTCTGTGACTTGAAGGGGAACTCGGCTGACTAATTGTTCCCGCAGTGCCATCACTTCCGGTGGCTCCTTAGGCTGGGAAAGTTTGGGCGGAAGTGTGAGTTTGTTGTCTGCCGCCCCTGACCCTTCATTCCTGCAGGATTTTGGCTAGCTGCTTCTGAAGGGACAGGCACTCCCATGGGGGGCAAGAGCTGTGGTGATTTTTTTTTCTTTTCTTTTTTTTTTTGAGGGCCTTATGTAAGGTAGGCTGACCTCAAACTCAGTTGTAGAGCTGAGGATGACCCAAGTGCTGACATAGAGGTGTGCGCCACCATACCCGGTTACTGTCACATTTTGTGTTTATCAGCCTTTTGTGTGTACTGCCTGGAGGTATGTTCATTCAAGTACTTTGCTCATGTCAAAACTGATACCTCTTTTACATAAAAGTAAGGTCAGAATTGGCATTTTCATGAGCACATATTGCCTAGAAAGGAATGTTGAGAATAATAGACCCAGGCAAGGTGAGGCCAGAGGAGGCTGAAGAGGGGGTCCTAGGGGAGACCCAAGGATCAGTGAGATGACAAAGATTTGAAGGGGTACTGGACCATTTGAGGTAAATGTTTGCACCACCCTGAGACCATTCTGTGGCTCCATCACTTGTTAGCGGGGCTTATTGCTCAAGATCTGTGAATGAGTCTGTCTCTGCCGTAACAGGTAGGGGAGGATGAGTGGACGGGTGGACTGGTGGATGGGCGCTGAAGCTCTCCTCGTAGGGCGATGTGAACAAGTGTCAGGTAATAGGCAGTACAGGGTGCAGTGCTGGTAAATGTGCCCTGGGACAGTGAGTCCCCAGCTCCTGCCTTCTCCACCAGGGCTGAGAGCAGTGTGAGAACTCACGGTTCCTGAGGCAGAGCACTCAGAATGGAAGGGAAATAGTAAAGAACGCAGCAGGACAAGGTAGAGAGTAGGCAGATGGGACAAACTATCACCTTTCCTAGAGTTCGGAGTAGTAAAGTGGGAACTTCAGGATCAGCAGTGTGGAGACCCCAGGATCATCTGTGTGGAGACCCCAGGATCATCTGTGTGGAGACCCCAGGATCATCTGTGTGGAGACCCCAGGATCATCTGTGTGGAGACCCCAGGATCAGCAGTGTGGAGACCCCAGGACCAGCTGTGTGAAGACCCCAGGATCAGCAGTGTGGAGACCCCAGGATCAACAGTGTGGAGACCCCAGGACCAGCTGTGTGAAGACCCCAGGATCAGCAGTGTGGAGACCCCAGGATCAGCTGTGTGAAGACCCCAGGATCAGTTGTGTGGAGACCCCAGGATCAGCAGTGTGGAGACCCCAAGATTAGCAGTGTGGAGACCCCAAGATTGGTAGTGTGGAGACCCCAGAATCAAAAGTGTGGAGACCTCAGGATCAGCTGTGTGAAGACCCAGGATCAGTTGTGTGGAGACCCCAGGATCAGCAGTGTGGAGACCCCAGAATCAGAAGTGTGAAGACCCCAAGATTAGAAGTGTGGAGACCCCAGGATCAGCTGTGTGGAGACCCCAGGATCAGCAGTGTGGAGACCCCAAGATTAGCAGTGTGGAGACCCCAAGATTGGTAGTGTGGAGACCCCAGAATCAAAAGTGTGGAGACCTCAGGATCAGCTGTGTGAAGACAGCGTAGGGTGTTTTTAAGACTAGAAATTGTAATCGTGCTTTTTTTTCTTGGTTCCTTTTTGGGGGGCTTGGGGAGAATGACTCACTCTGTAGACCAAGCTGGCCTTGATTCACCTCTGTCTCCTGAGTGCTGGCATTAAAGGAGTGAGCCACTACTACCTAGCTTAAAAATATATTTTTTTTAATTTTTATTTATTTGTGTGTGCACGTTGGCATTTTGCTTGCATTCATATCTGTGTGAGGGTGTCAGATCCCCTGGAACTGGATTTACAGACAGTTGTGAGCTGCCACATAGGTGCTGGGAATTGAACTCAGCTCCTCTGGAAGAGTGGCCAGTGCTCTTAATCACTGAGCCATTTCTGTAGTCCCTGATTACTTTATTTTTATTTTTAAGACAAGGTCTGTAGTGCAAATAATAAAAACCCAGAGACAGATGTTAGGGGGGAATCTGTAGATCAGAGAAGAAAAGAAACCAAGCCACTAGAGAGTTCTCACCTCTATCAGTGCTAAGACCAAAAGGGTTGATTCTGTCCTCATTGTGACTGCCCTGCATTCCTGTCTCCATCTCCCTTATATTCCTCTCTAGTGCTGGGATTAAAAACCTGCACCACCACTGCCCATAGCTTCTAAGGCTAAGGAGTATGGCTCTTGGGATTAAAGGTGTGTCCTACCACTGCCTGCCCTCTATGGCTGAC